TATCACGTATATATCCTTAAATGGTTATTTTGACCAAATTTGGCATCGAGCCATCAGTGGGTAAGACGATCCATCAAGCCATCAGACGGCTAGATGATATTACCATTTTTTGCTATGTATCACCAAATTTGTATTTGCAATTTCCAAATTCGATTGGCTCGATAAACTGGGGAGAGCGCACTAAATAGTAAAAACAACATACAGTATAATTTAGTAGAATATGCTCCTTGTCAACAATGCTACATATGTAATCAAATGACGACATTGCCAATAATCCCATAGTATTTAATTTTCTTCCGAATATAATAAAGATTTACCCATGACTAAATTGAGTTAAGTTAGAACAATTGAATACATTTTACGCAAGTCAATGAATAAATAAACAGTATATACTTGCATCATAACTTACATCATTGATAGCATACAAAATGTTGACCGCGCATGGTAAAATGTATTCAATGTAGTGTAGTAGTAGTTGTTGTATTCAGTATTCGTCTTATATGTAAGTTGATGTTTTTGTTATTGTCTGCAAAATCAAATGGCAAAAGAGGATGGAGTTACTGGTCGATGGACAATGTGGTAGCAATTATTTGGGTTGTTAATATACGCATTCGATTTTGCCATTGGACGGAGCATTTTAAGGAATAAAGTTTTTTTGTTTATCGAGCACTTACCATCTTGCTTTCCCGTTATAAAATTAAGACTATAATCAACAATGTTTATCTGATACTGCAAACGTCGTTGTCGATGACTCCTACGCGTCTCCAACAAATGTAGGTACACAGATATGGGGGGGGGGTACTGTTACCTAATATATTTTTGTATAATGTAAATTAGATATAACATGTGTTTGGAAATAGAGGACTAACCTTGAGGATATTATCTATATTACTCAGTGGTACTATTGAGGGGTATGTAGGTTTCCATGGTGACTTCTGTATTGTCCCGAGTTTAAAAACGATGTATCCATTTTTAATGATGGTACTAGTACTCAAACATGATTTTTATTAGATGTTGTGTATTTGTGTATTCTCGTGATGTTGCGGTGTGTACTTGTATGGAAGCAGGGAGTGGAGTGGTGATGCAATACTTTGTACGCGAAATGATAGTTACCAATGCGTTAGACCCTTTACGACTGTTCGAACATATTAATATCCACCGACACAGAACCTCCTCTATGTATTTGAGTATTTCAAGTCCGTTAACAATTTCTTTATTTGCTCACCGGCTGACATAGCCCCTTGTTCCATATAATTTTCGGAAAACTGACTTATTCACACGAAATTTATCTGTCACAAAACCTAAATACAAGAGAATGCCAAGGCCGAGATAGAAGGAGAGAAATATGTGTGACAGAGACCTCGTGAGAGATTTAGGCAGAAAGATTGTAAGATTATTGAGAACTGATGCCCCTACTTAGAGAGATGACTATGCACACACGTGGTTGGCTAGTTAGAGGAATACAAGAGACGCGAACAATACGAACAGGGAATACAAGGAAACTGAGCATAATCTTCATAGAGTCTGCGTAGAATTTGTATCAAAGCATCGGAAGGACGCCAAAACGTCTGCTCAATTTCCTGCAAACGCGCAGGAATAGACACGTTAATTGAAGGGGAAACTATGTTGGATTGAAAGGAAGATGATGAGCAGTGGATTGGGAGAAGTCAACGATCGACTCGTATGGTGCGGTGCCAATGAATCGAAAGAAAAGTTGTCAACGATTCGAGACAATTTGTTTGAGGATAAATTAGTGATTAGTAGAAAAGTTGATATTGTCTTGAAGACAGAATCATGATTTATATATTTCGATTTACATATTGTCTTGTATTGTGAGCTAAAATAAACAAAATGAGTTTTACACTTATTAGTATCGGTCAAAGATCGTATAGTCATGCATCGTTATAAACGTAAATAACTGCTGTCTTCCATAAATCGGTTATAAGAGTGGTAAATTGCTTAAAATTTTCATCTCCCTTAACGATAGTTATAGCCGTCGTTACAATCAAAAAGGATCGTACAATATTACCTATCGGTGTAAGCTTAAGTTACTGTTGTCTGCCGTAAATCGATTATAAGATGTGAATTGCTCCCGCAGTTCTGAGGTAGGGTGAATAATCCGGCTTTTTAGTTTGTCCGCTAATGAAATATTTCAGAAAGCAATAAATTACTTACAAATGAATATTACCATAGCCGAACACCCGAATTAAGGTTACTATTATTATTATTAAACAACTAAATATAGAGGATGGCTAAAGCGGAGTAGAACGTGACCTGATTCTTGCAATTACATTGGTCAAATTTGTATATCAACCAATGAAATTGTAAAAAAACTACTCCGCTTTAGCCTACCCTAAATAGAGTAATTATAATAGAGTACAATTAGTACAACAAAATATCCACATCATATCTATTAATATCGTCATTATGGTCATCATTCAAAAGAGAGGAGAAAAGAATGTGTTCTTAATATCTCAATTACTCACACCTCAATTCTTAATATTAAAATATATTAATATTAAGAAATTTCAGCCGAAACAAATATAACTTCTTTTAGGTTTTCGAGGTTAGCCCAAACAGAAATTTACACTCGGATAGGTTAACATCGTACTACGTAGTGAACCTGTTAAACTGAAGTGGGTCGGGAACATGGGTGGGAAATCGGTTTGTCGGGGTAAATTTAATATAGAGGTTTTAGAACTTACCTTCACTGTAGCGGGTTTACTTAGTCCTTCGGTTTATCCATCTTCGGTTAATAACACTTAAGTTTCGACTTACTTTATTGGATTACAAGATAACAATCGCCGTTTTATAATAATAACCATTCCAAGACATAGTATTGCTGATCAAAGAAATTAGTATTAAAACCGTTGGCTCAGTTCCTCTAATTTTTCTTTCAATAGAAAAAAAAAATGTCCATCTACACGCAATTAACCACACTTATCCCACAAACTATCCTCTTGCTTCCTCTCATCCTCCTCACCATCATCTTGCTCTATGTGATCCACTTTTACATTTCTTACATTAACCGCGAGAATCCTCTTCCGGGTCCTATTCCTCTTCCACTTATCGGCAACCTTCACAAAATGTCAGATTCTTACAGATTTTTCAATAAATGTTATGAACAATATGGTGACATTTATGAATACTACATTGGCAATAGGCGTGCCATCATGCTGAATCGAGTTGATATGGCAGAAAACATTCTGACACAATCGATCAAATCCAAATACTTTATCAGGCTTGTAGCAGCTAATCAGGGATGGGAAGAATTGGGATTTACGGAAAGAGGTTTGGTTGGAAACAAAGTAATGAAAAATTGGTTATTGAACCGAAGGATGTTGAATTTTTGCTTGACTTCAACAAAATATATAAAAGAAATTGTCAATGTCTCGCAAGAGCGGTTTTCAGAAGCAGAAGAGTATTGGACTGAACTTGGCGATAGTACACCTTTGGAATTTACTAAATGGATGCATGCCATTACCGTAGACACGCAAATAAGAACTCTAACTGGTCAAATTACATATGCTCTTTCCTCCTACCGCAATTCTCTTCTTGCGGCACATCGACAACAACCTCTTCCTGAATCATCCCTCCACTATTCCAAGTTAATCAACCATCTTTGCACCATATCTCGAGTAGGGCAATTTTTTTACCTCATGCCCTGGTATTTTAGGCACTATGTCCCAGGAATCAGGGGAACTGCGGAACGGATGAAGGGGGAAGCTAGGTGGCTCCAAGAGGAAGTGAGGAAGATTGTGAATGAAAGAAAGAAAGAGATTAAGAACCTGAAGGAGGGAGAAGAGTTGAGAGCTGATCTGTTGTCGTTGATGTTGACCATAAATACGCAAAAAGATTTGAATAGGGTTAAGACGAGTGAATTCGAGAGGCCGCTAGACGAAGAAGAAATCGTACAGTTGCTTATTGAAGCATTTTCCGGTGGGGTTGATTCGGTATGTTTATTATTAGATCTAATCGTCTGATTTTAACAGCGCTGTTTCGAAGTGTTAGACAATACATCTGGAGAATTCGGATAGTTTTCGTCTCACTTTCCTCATTTTTTTTAAAACTTAGATAACGAATGCGCTCTGCTTCACAATCTACGACATCTGTAAACGCCCAGCTGTCAAATCCCGCCTGATTGCTGAAATCGATGCTACCCTTCCGTCCGACGCCGACATCCTTTCTTACGATGCTTTAACCACATCCTTCCCATATACCAGCGCAGTGATGAAAGAATCCTCCCGTTTGCTCACCGTCGCTCCAATAATAGCTCAAATAGCCTCAGAAGACGACGAAGTTGCCGGGTATAAATGGCGTGCTGGTATGACGGTTGGTGTCAATCACGGAATTATTCACAGACACAAAGCATACTGGAAGGATCCTGAAGCTTTTAAACCTGAAAGATTTTTGGACGAATGTGAGGATAAAGTAAAGCCAAAGACATTTCTGCCTTTTGGTGGAACACTGAGAATTTGTCCGGGTAGGTTTATGGCCGACAGACTAATCAAAACATTTTTGATCATGCTGTTTCGAAAGTATGAAGTTGAATTATGTGAACCAGATAAGGAGATTGAGTACCATTATGCAATGAGTAACAAGTGTAAGGGTTTGAAGGTTTATTTGAAGGCTAGGAATAAAGAGCATACGGCGGCGGCGTAGATAGAGAATAGGTAAAAGTGGAATGAACAGGTCATTATGGTGATGGTAGCTATGTGAACTGAACTTTTCATGGAGGCAATAGATGATGGCATACCACCGAGTTTTTACATTAGACGTGGAACGATTGTATTTAAATTCCAACTTTTGATAGCTGAGCGTGATGGGGAATAGACAATTCTAAACAAAGAACGCAAATAATTATCAGCTCTCGGCGTTGGCAAAATTTTTACTTGTACAATATGAATCGTGGTATCATTAATGTTTTTTATTATTAAATAAGCATGCTATAAACAAATTTATGCAAGAAATTTCTGAAGTGTGAAAATGTATTTTTGATTCTTACCAAGTTCCTAAAGTGAATGCAGAACGAGATAACGTTAACTCTTTGCGAATCACAATAATTCGAATATCAAAAAGGTCAAACCATTTTCAACAGTAACCCATCCCTTTTCTTTCTCTCTCAGTTTGGACTCACCCCACTTTAATTCCTCTATAACCTACTTCATGCTCGGCGGCAAATTGCACTTGCCAGTCCTAGCACACCAAAGTGGCTGTAATGGCTCGGCCCTAATCCCCCTGCCAACCATCCGGAATCGCATTTCATGCAACCGAGGGAGAGCTGTCAGTACGCTTCTCGGATTGCCATGCGCGTCGGTGGCACCAGACCAGAGAATCTCAGCGGCTGCAGAAGAACGTGGCCAGAGGAGAGATTCAAAGTTTGTAGTATCGGCTTGTTCGGACCAGAGCAAAACCTCGCCTAGTGATAAATAGTAGAATATACAGTAAATGAATATCGTAAGACCACAGGGTTAGGATGGAGTAGGGTGGGGGAGTTTTATTATAGATGGTGTCGCAAGCTGAAAATGGCTCACCCCCTAGAATATACTTGGCTTCCTCTTCGTTGAGGTCTTGAACTGGGTTATAAGAATACACCTTCTGCCACGTTTTGAATGGATCGCACCTACATACATTAGAAGAAATTGTTTCTAGAAAAACTCGATGCAATTTTGTCCACGGTCGTTTTTAGATCGAGAATCGCATCAACTTACCAGCTATTCCCATCCACCCAATCACCAAGCCAACCTCCATGTCCACAGTCCAAATACCAAAAGTCACCTGGTCCCACAATCACTCTATACTTCTTAGCGACTACTTGCTTCACTCGGTCACTATTTGTCCACACTTGAATTACAACATCTTCTGCCAGACCCATTCCCTGATTCAACAAGATCTCTTCCCAAGTTACAGGCGTTTTTCCCGAATCCCTAACTGCATCGTATTCAACGTTGAGAAATGTTTGCAATACTGTTGAAATGGATGATCCGGGATTGGAAGAGAGATAATCGCGAATCGAATCTGTTGATTCCCAGCAGTGAGCATTCACTTCGTCACCACCAGTATGCCAAAATTTGTCTGGAAACCAGGAAGAAAGCTCTGCTATTAGTTGCCGGACAAAATCGTAAGTCTTTGGGAGGATCGGATTTAGCTGGCCGGACGGTGGTTCTGCAGCGTACTTTCAGAGGATGTTTGAGAATGTAGAAACATACGATCAGTCGGTGAACAAGACCAAAAATTTTCGATGGTCACTTTTTAGAGCTTTACGCTGTAAATAATGTCTGACTCACCCAATTCCAATTCGGCTGTTGGTCCAAGCATGTCATTCTTTACGAGAAAATGAAAACGATTAAGCAACGGAAAAGTAGGAAATGAACGAAACGACACGCGCACAGAAAAGGGGATATTCTTACATCTCAGGGTGACTTAATGAAATAGGATACGTATGACCTGGCATATCGAATTCGGGTATTACGCGTATTCCTCTCTGATGGCAGGAATTTTTTGGATGTTGATTTGTGAATAAATATGTCATCATAGGAGTAATTTGCTCAATACAATATTTGGCATTCACTCAAGCACCTACCATTTTGGCATATTCGACAATGGTCTCAATCTCTCTTTTGCTGTAAACCATATCATTCGGATCATATGCGCCCTTCTCACTCAACTCTGGGAAGACTTCACTCTTTACTGGCCAACTATGTTGATCGACAATATGCCAATGGAAGACATTCATCTTGTTCCAACTCATCACATCCAGTGTGCGCAGTATATCGGTCTCGGGATAAAAGTTACGAGAAGTATCAAGAAGGATGCCGCGATGATGGAAACGTGGTCGATCGATTATGTAGTGAGGTGCATCAGGGAGGACAAGATCAGCAGAGGAAGGTGGAGAGTAGAGAAGAAGAGAGAAAGTAGTTAAACCGTGCAAAAGCCCATAGACAGTCTTTGCTTTTAGGTGACATGTTATGGGTTGGTCTTGTGAGTGTCCTACGGGTATGATCAATTCATATGATTCGTCGGTATCAGGACCCAATTCAACGTCGTCAGATTCTATTTCAACATACATCCTTTCCACAGTCTTTGCATTTCGTTCTGGTATCGGAATAAGTTTATTAGGAGGTGTGTACTTCTCCTCTTTCATAAATTGCAATAATCGCTGTGTGGCGCTATGAATGATCTTATGTAGTTCAGCGCTGGACGACAGGATATTGTCCGAGTAATGGAAAGAAAGAGTGGAATAGACCTTGAGGACTTCATTGCCCTTAGACCAAGAAGTAGGTATTGGCCAGAGGGCAGTCGTCGATGAGGTGAAGAATAAAAGAAAGAGGAAAAGATAGAATCGATAGGACATTGTAAGAACAGGGTGAGGAAAGTATGTAGTTAGTATACAGTATTAGTATGTGAATATGTGGGGTGATACACGGACAATTAAAGAAATTGTGCTTGTAATACTAAAAAGTATTAGCGTGTAAATTGACAATCGACTAAGTGATGGGTGATGAAACAGTAGTTCCACGAAGTAAGCTGCTAAAACTTGTCTATAATGCAATTACTATACTAAAGTCATGAATGGAAACTTAATAACAATGTCCATAATGTTTACAACCTTAATTTGCTGCTATACCTGATTATTGATGTTCCTAATAAAGCTAAATAAAACTTTATTTAGCAATTAGTCAACTTTGATTCACGTATTTCATTGTTTATTCTAATTGTATTATGCTTAAAATGATACAGTCAGACGAATGGTGCCTGTTATTATTATTTCTGCTAAAGAAGGATTAGAAGCCCTACAAATAGCTATGCCATTTTTGTTGCTGCAACCTAGGGACTGTTCTGGCAAAGTTAAAGAGTTGACCACTTAAATGGAAAAAGTTATTCAGAGTCTATAAATAGATATTTTTCTTTTTATATACAGCTATGATAATCTATACAGAAAAAATTTTTATCATAGCATACTATCTACAATAATACTAACAATGTTCATTTTATAAACAAGTGAACAAAAAGATTACTTAGTAATGTTACGGTCGGGAATTAAATGGGGGTTTTGGGAGAGCGATTTATCTTTTCGTGTAGGTGTGTTCGCCAACCGGGGGATGTTACCAGGCTTAGCTCGTACTATCGCCCTTACTACGATAGTTGTGCAATTAAGACTGAATTAAGCC